CTCAGCCTCCCTAGGACTGGGATTACATGCATGCACCACCTTGCCAGGTCCCTGTGGCCAGCTCAGTATGCCCTGGGGTAGAGCCCACACAGTATGTGGTGCTGGAGATCGAACCCCAGTCTTTGTGATTGCCTAAGCAGGTGCTTAGTTTGCTGACCTATCTCGCTAACCCTTTCTTCCTTAAATCTAAATGCACCTAGGATAAACTATTTTCCTTAGAGGTCTAGAAAATTCTAGTTAGAATTTTGCTCTTTATCCTAATAAGCAAGGTTTTTTTTCTGGGTACCTAGTTCAAAGAATATTATTATATGTACAAGAATATGCATATTAATGTATATGTATGCTAAAGATGTTTGACATTATTAAGCATGTGTTATTTATGGGCCACACTTCGTGTTAAGTAAGCAATTGTTGCATCTTGACATAGTCAGCCCTCACAATGAGAAGTGGCAGGTAGGAATTATCTAATAGATAATAGACGAGATAACTGGACCTTAGCATGTTGTAGAGCTAGGGTTGCAGCCTAGTTTTGTTGGAGTGCTTAGCCAGGAGAGCATCTCTGGAAATGTGAGAACTGCACCTTCTTGCTGTGTGAATCACATGACTCGATATGACATATCCAAGTCGCTCACCACAGCACAGTGTGGGACCCCTAATGCTGCCATGAGCTTCCTGACGCATGGTCATCACTGTGCCTCCCGAGCTATTCTGCAAGAGCAAGCAGAGACATCAAAACAACACCTAGGACTTGGAGGCAGATTTATTTACATTGACGGGCACTGATCAGGATCATTCCCAGAATATCAGGGCCTGACTTCTGGTGGTCTAGGGCTTAGATGGGACAACTAAGCTTCAAAGTATGGAGGCAGAATGGATTGTCAATTGGGGATTGGTCCTTACAATATATATCACAGTGACCAGTCATGTCTAAGGGACAGAAGCAACCCAAACTGGAACAAGAACTGTAACTTGGACAGCTAAGATATTGAAGTAAACTGGCTGGAGGTGGTAGTTGTGATAGCGCTACAATTTCGGGCTATAGCCTTTTAAATTTTTCAATTCATTCACAACTCAGTCAGCTACCATTTTCCATCCAGGCTTAATATATCTTCCTAAAAAGTATTAACCCAATTTTAGCATAGTTCAAATATCCATGACTTCATAAGTCCTTGGCACTAGTAAGAAAAAGAGGAGTTTGTCACATCTGTGACTGCTTTTCTGAAAGGTCTGTTTCTTTTCCTAGCCACCCTTCCTTCCTTGTCTTTCTCATCTCACCCCAAGTTCAGCGGAAGTCCACAGGGCACAGAACTCGCAATGTGTAATCTAGTTATTAGTTTTTAATTTACTTGAAAATTCTGAGGCACTCCTGTAGACCCTAGATTCTGTTTGGGCTTGTTATCCTTCCCTCCTTTGGGGCCATGCTGTTCTGGGACAACGGGACACACATGACCAGGCACACATTACCGGGTACCTCGACCTGTTAATTAACAGCCACTTCAGTCTACTTGTCCAGCCTGATTTTTGACCTCTGGATCACAGCAGGGCATGAGGGGAGAAGAAGACAAACATCCATCAGAAATATATTTATCCTAAGGTCCCTAGAATCATGATTTCACAGGATTCCCCCAATATCAAAGCTGCACAAATATTTTCTTTATGTTCATATAAGTGGATGGGGGGGAATATATTTTAAGGCAAAATAGTAACATTTTCTGTCTTCCTTCTTGGGAGACAGAGGTAGGTGGTGTTATTTACAGTCATCTACAAATAAATTCTTGTGTCTCTCTTCCTCTTGTAGATACTGGTGAAGGAAGGAAGACTGAGCACTCAGGTGCAGCAGTGCGCATCATGTGCACAAGAGGAGGGCTGCAGCTCGGTCCGGGGTGGAGGAGCCACCCAGCTCTGTGGAAGCCGTGGCATGATTCCACTCACTTTTGTTCTCCTGCAAAAAAAGATAGATGAGCGTGGTGGAAGGGGACCCAAGCAAGCAGACCTGGCTGTCCTCGGGCAGGTTGAAAGCATAGCTCTAGGGTGCTCTCTGCAGGTGTTTTCTGCCCCCTTGTACTTTTTAGAAAAATCAGTCTGTAGGCTTTACCTTTTATTATTATGCTTTGTTTAATTTTATTTGCTGCTTTTGGAAATCAAAGAATAGAAAGATATTATATCACGGTGGGCTACAGCACAGATCAGCAACACGGTGTGCATGATGGTGCGAAATTTCATAGATTTCACAGATTTAGGAGACAC